GATGTAGATGCTCTCATTTTCTGCCAGCACTGTGGCTTCACAATATGAAAGTGGGACATCCTGAAATTATATTAATTTTCACTGATTATGTAATCAAACAACAACACATTGTTTTATTATAAGCATACATTACATTAAAAAAACAGGATAACTACCTGAAACTTGTAGAATGGTACTTCGTTCTGTGTGTGCCATTCCTTGCTGCTGCATGTCTGTTACAAGTTGCTGGAGTCTTCCTCCTGGTTTGGGTCTCACTGCCATTGTTTCAATGTTCACAATGAGGTTTTGAACCCCACTGACAGCTTGTTGGGTCAGGTTATTAATATGGTGGTTTTTTGATTGTTTATTAAGTTATAATTTGTATCACACATAGTATTACCTGGGGTAGAATGACTTCATTTCTTTGCAAAAGTAAACTAAACTGACTGATCACAGAAAAAAACATCAGCAAGAAAGTGGCAGAAGGCTACAAAAGTTCCATCCTCCATAGTCTTCTTGATCTGAAATACAGCACCAAAGAGAAAACGTGCTTAACCAAAAGTTAAATTGCACTCAATAATGATAAACCACAATAAATAAAAATAATTAAATTTCAACAAATACTATAGTTACTTTTTTGGCCCTTCCAGCAATGTCTGTGTTTGCTGATGCACTGGCCAAGTGGTGCATGTGCACACAGACTGCAGTAAACTGTGCTGGGTCCTGAAGATAACCTCCTCTCTCTTTTGGCCCTTGTCTGTGTTTGCTGATGCACTGGCCAAGTGGTCCATGTGCACATAGATTGCAGTAAACTGTGCTGGGTCGCTGGGTCCACCTCCTCTCTCTCCAGTTTTAACAGTGTCTCCAGCGATCTAGACACATGTGGTAGCCAGCGCGTTCCTTTTACTCCACTTGGGGAATTCACCCTTATGCCTAGGTCTTCCCCAAAGACCCTCAGCTCCCTCATGGATTTGCTGCTGAAATGGTATGTTTTCCAAACCATATTGAGGTTGTAAACTTTCCCAATCATTGGGTTTTCCTTTTGCACTGACAACAGAGCCAGATCAAGCCTACACAGAAAAGTGTAATCAGAAAAGGCTACCCAAGAAATGTATAGGACTGATAGTTAGCTTCATGTTTACGTACCTGTGAGGCATACAATGGAAAGGAAAAATGTAGTTCCCTGCCTCTGCCTGGACAAGGGATATTCCCCCCCGCTTGTGTCCAAGATTTACAGCTGCCCCATCTGCCCCCATGGCTACAGTTTTTTT